TTAATACGTAAATCATATGCATATAATACATATATTTACAAATACAGATTTTCATTTTATTGCTTTGCCAAATGACTTATCTATCACCTCTGAAGTGACGTCATGTGCAAAGAGTTGAGGCTTTATTACAATTTAGGGTTATTGCTCAATGTAAACTTCCATCGATTGAATGTGTTGCTATTTATGCTCACATCGAAAAGAAATCCATATATCTTAACTATATTTAATTTTTTAATGTATTCAAATTAACCTGCTCACCCTGTGGCAGGATTATCCTGGTATAAAGATACTACTGATTCTACCACATTTCGACAGTTTTTTTATAGGTATATTGTTTGATTTTAACTATTTAAAAACATGACCTTTTAATTATTATTTAAATTTAACAGAAACTTGTATATCTATAGTATTCCTGGGATCAGAGTTCAATTTAATTACATATTCTTTCAAGAGATAATTAAGTATTATTTTTTTATTAAATTATTAGATAGAACGATGATTTATAAATAAATGGTTTTTACCACACTTTTGATACCAATTTATTAAAATTAAGTTGAAAATACTTAATATACAGGGTGATTCAGAACTTATCAAAAAAAAAATTGATGTACAGGGCGATTCCCTATATTTTTACTCCCCTTTAACTTTTTTGTTTCAAGAGTTATAAAAAAAATGTGAAATACAAAAGTTACACTTTTTTTTATGAATTTTCTAAATTAATAAAAAATTAAAACAAATGAAGTCCAAACAAAATTCCCGCTGATGTTAACTTTGTTAACTGTATATTTTTACAAATTTGCATAGAACGTTCCCTGTCTCGAACATATAAGTACGCGAAACACAATGGCTCCATCTGTCTGTCGTGCCGACTTCCACTATGCCATTCAAATGGCTACAACGGTGGAAGCGACCTGCTAAAATTTGCTAGGTACTTTGTTGCACGACTGTCGCCTAGAGGGCGAAAACAATTCTAACCAGTGTTGCAAGAAACAACTACACCGCGGGCTGTATGCCCCCCCCCCTGTCGGCACGACAGACAGATGGAGCCATTGTGCTTCGCGTACTATGTACCTACCTCTTGTCGGGAGTACACGACATTATAACAGGTAGATCGTCCGTCGGTTGTCTCACCTATGACACACTGATGAGAACTAATAAGTCCGAAACCGGTCTGTCCCTGGTGGGTTAAACTAACGAGCGATCCTAGCTGTTGCATTAGGTGTTCCGAATGTAATTCATTGCGGGGGGGGGGGGGCATACAGCCCGCGGTGTAGTTATGGACGTGAGAGGCCTAATTACTCATGACAATGCTATATGGTAGGTCGTGACAGTGGCAGGTAGCAATGTCATGATAACATTGTTATTGATTAGCAGTTTGTATTATTATTTAATTAAAATAGGTTACACAGATGTAGAAAATTGAAATATTATTTGAAATTAAAATATAGAATATGGAGAACTTTATATCAATTTGCTATTTCTGTATATCCCATTTTAATTAAATAATGACACAAACTGTCAATCAATAACAATGTTGTCATGGCGTTACCTGTCACTGTCACGGCCTACCATATAATATTGTCTATGAATTAGGCCTCTCACGGCTTAATTAGTGTGATTTCTTTAAAAAATACTATACGTATTTTGGAACATGTCAATCTCCGATATATGAAAATATGTATTACAACTCAATCTGTAAATCCTAACATAATTGGAAAAGAAGCAGAAATGCTTGAAAGAGTTCTAAAAATTACTATCACAGATATCTAATTTCTTAATATAAAACCATCTTTTCGTTTTTTAATAGTATCTCGCTTATTGTTAGAGATGGACCCAACAAATTCTATATGACTATGCTCGATACAGGGTGTTCCATTTAAATTAACAAAGTTACCATCAGCGGCCATTTTGTTTGGACTTCATTTGATTTTCAACTATCATTTTCGAAAAATTCATAAAAAATCGTGCTACTTTTGTATTTCACATTTTTTTATAACTCTTAAAACGAAAAAGTTAAAGGGGGGTCAAAATATAGTGAATCACCCTGTACAGGGGACTCATACAAATACAATTTTGTAAAAAAAAAATCAAGAAGGCAGTTCGAAAATGATTTAAAAATACACTTCTGCACGGCACTGGAAACTGGTCCACTGTAAAACGTGACCCTACACAAGGCGAAGTGTAATACATACAAAACGGACAAAAACTTGAAGGAATTTCGCAAAGAAAGAAATAAATAGAATTTTATAGCACCTATTTTATACCAGCAAATTCAACTGCTTTTGCTGCTATTATTATTAATTAATCAAATTAATATGTGGTTTTACTTAATAAAATTATTTGACGTACTTGATTTGACATACAACTGTTCAAAATTTTGTCCACCGACATGTAAACATATTTAGGCCCATCTTACTCAGTTTCTACGAACTAACACAAATCTTGTCCTGCTTCACCATAACACAAATGTTTCACCATAATACAAACACAAGAATAAATAACATGTTGTCTTACTTTCACCATAAATTATAACGATATCCACTCCGAGTTGCTCTACACACAAGCCATTTGTGACACTAACTACTAAAAAACTATTGTAAATACTACCGAAACGATGATTGTAAAATCAGATTTCAGTATTCGGAGCCGCTAAGGCCACGTGGCTCTCCACGAATGACGCTAGAGACTACAGTTGTCCAGCGATGTAATGCTTGAAAGTACTTCAACTACAATAATTTTTTTCTCAGAAACTATAAGGATTCTATAAAAAAAATGTTTACGATATTGAATCCATTTCTCATGCCGCATCTATTCTCAAATTTTTTGGATAAGTTATTAATCACCCTGTATAATGTATCCCACAGGTTTCTAGTATCCACTAGGGTGACAAAGTTCTTACATTAGTTCTGTACAATTATTGTGTTCTGGTTCAATATGAGTCACGTTGTTAAGTGGCCCACTCGGGTCCATTGATAATATTTTTGTCAATTTTGGAAATAACGGCTTGGTCTATGTTTTTGATAATTTAATTTCTAACCATAGACCTGCTTTTTTTAAATTGCGTTGGATGAATAACTTAGAACAAAATAATATTACTGTTTATAATCATAAAATCAATAAAACTGCAAATATCAACTTTGTAGAATCATTAGAAACTTAAAAGATCTGCATATTCTAAAAAACCCATACCCATTGCTATCCTCTATGTATAAAATTGTTAAGAAAAAACATTTTCGTTTGATAACCATTAAAAAAAAGAATTCTACAATAAAAAAATTAATGTTCTGGTAACCCTAACAAAGCATCCTACCAACCGACGCAAACTATGCAAAAATTTTACCATTTTACACGACGAAAAAGAAGTTGATGTGGTGGCTCCGTTGTTTAATTTTCATTTCAAAAAATTCACCCTTAAAGATAAAATTACAAGTTCCAGCAACATAGTACAGAACAAAATGTCCAATTTAATTATAATACATTGTTTTTAAAGCCCTCCTCTCCCGATGAGCTCTATAATTTGCTAATTTGCAAACTAAAAAATAAAAATTGTGCCGGACACGATGAGGGACCCTTCTTTATTATAAAAAATAATTTAAAGCTGATGCTAGAACCTATAACTTATTTAGTAAATCTTTGATTTTTAGAAGGAATATTTCCCTGTTATCTTAAAACTGAAAAGGTTATTCCGAATTTTAAGAAATACGATTCCTTAGAGCAATAACGATCCCCATCTATTAAATAATTATAGACCTATAATTTTGCAAAAATGTTTGAACATTCTTTTTTGAACAGATTATTGAATTTCATTAATCAATTTAATAGGTATCTAAATAGTAAATCAACACGGCTTTCGTTGTAATAAATCTACTACTACAGCGATTCACTATTTTATTAATTCAATCTATTGATGATGGTGAGTGTGGAATTTTCTGTTTCTCTTAATGGAAGACATATATTTATATTGTCGTAAAGTTATGCGAAAATATTCGTTAAATTTTGCGGCAAATAGTTGTTGTCATTATTTAAACACTAAGTAATAGTAATTATAATATTTGAAAGACTAAGGTAGTGAAAAGCTCTATATAAGATGTGTTTCATATATAACTGGACGACGCATTTTCCCTCAATTTTACCACATTCAGTGTAACAAAGTCAGATTGAACCACTTTAGGCCATTGTTGTTTCACCTACCATATCCTTTATTCAATAAAAGCCCCCCTAGGAAAGTTCCTGGCTACGCTTATGTGAATGTTATTACAATATTTTAACAAATTTCGTATGTTCAAATACTGGATCAAATATATTTATTTTAAAATTATTTATTGTTATTGTTTATTGCCAAGTTAATTTGATAAACATATATTTTCTTCTGAATTCATTAGCACCACAACTAATTATAACAAATTTTTCAATCCATCTTAAACTTATTTATTATATATTTGGTGTGTCCTATGTACAACTAAATTGAATAAGNTTTTATATAGTTAAAAAACTATGAAAAAAATATGCAATATAATTCTTATCAGTAGCTTTCATATGCCGTTGGATTTATTCAAATATCTATCATAGTTTTATAGAAAAATTATTTTGAAGTTAAGGGTTGTAACCCCATTTTTTTTAAAATGAACAAAGATAGAGCTCTGATAATTTGTCAAAAATTATTTCTATCAACAAGCAACACACTGAAGACACCATTGTTAAAAAACACGCCAGTGCAGATTTCACATGAGACCCTTTAATATCTAAATAGAAAATCAGTACGGCTTTCGTTGTAATAAATCTACTACTACAGCGATTCACTATTTTATTAATTTAATTTATTGATGATGGTGAGTGCCCTCTGTTTCCCTTAATGGAAGACATATATTTATATTATCGTAAAGTTATGCAAAAGTATTTTTTTGCGGCAAATAGTTGCTGTCATTATTTAAACACACACAACAGTAATTATAATATTTGATAGTGTGAAATACAAATTTCGATGTTCAAAAACTAATATCTAATATTTTGATTTTAAAATTATTTATTGTTATTGTTTATTGCCACTTCTAAGTTTAATTTGATAAACAGATATTTTCTTCTGAATGCATTAGCACCACAACTAATTGTAACAAATTTTTCTATCGATCTCATACTTATTTATTATATATTTGGTGTTTGCAATGTACAACTATGTAGTTTGAATAAGAAAAACTATTATAATTAATTTGATGAAAATGAATAACAGCATTAATTTTTATTCATTATTGAATTTCGTTTTCATCGAGGTTGGATGATAGAACCTGGATCTGGACCATCGTCATCGTATGTTAAAATTTCATAGTAATCTGTATCCTTTTGTCCATTTCCGATCCGATAGTAGAGTTTAGCATTTCCAACATTGAATCCGCAAACTTTGGCCACCAACAGCTCACCTTGGTATAATATTCTGCCGATATTGGTCACCAGGCCATTCCATTCCACACCACCTGGTACCAGATGTTTACCGGTCATTTGAACATGAAGTCTTTTTGCGTCTGCTGAAACCCATTTGAAATTTTCTTTAAAGGGACTGCATAAGATCTAAAATATACAATTTCGTTGTAGTTTGACGAATGAAAAATACGAAACATTCAGCAGAAGCATTGTTATGTTTAATATAGTAGTTATTCCACAAAAAAAGAAAATAAATTAGTTCATTATATGTACAATTTTATAAACAACACTACTTTTATGAGATGCCTATACAAAAATAAAAGAGAGGGCCAAGAACATCAGAAAGGTCAATGGAAACTAATTCAGAACAAAATAAAAGTGACTACTTAAGTGCTTCTTATTTATCATTTAGATTTGTTTGATAAATTTTCTCTAAAATAGTCCCACAAAAAAAAAGTTGTGTACCAGAGATATGAGATTTTATATATATTTTGATGCTGATTCCGAATCTGTAGCCAGAAAACCGATTTACCAGGTCGCTTTTTAGTAAAACGCTAAAGCATCTCTAAAATAAGGTGTAATAGTGATGATATGGTAAAACTTTATGTTGCAATATAACAATTTGTAAATATTTTGAGAAAACATTTTAAAATAATAGTCAAGTATTAGAAAGAAATATATATGCCACTACGAGGGCCTTAATTCCACCTCTGAGGGGAAATAACGAATGTTAGTGCAAAATATTTTATACTACCAGATATATATATGTAGGTTGGTAGACAATATTCCAAAAAGAATATAATAAAACTTTTTACACATTTTTCTATTCAATATTTTTGTCTGAATTTTGTTGCCGCGGGTTTTTGGGGTCGCTGATTACGAATCTGAAGTCTGAATCCGAAAATTCCTTAATAAAAGATTGCGGATCGAATATGACTGATGTACAAATCGGAGCAGCATTCAAAATTTGAAGATTGTGGCTGCAACTTGTTTTTCGGTGGTTTTAAACTCGCTAATCACGAATATAAGGATTTAATTCCGAAATTCTTAAATCCAAAATGGCAGACCACTATGGCAGATTGAAAAAACCATAGACATTGGTATTTACTACCCTAAGGAATGCGTTATGTTTGTTTAAAAAATTTAGTCATTTGAGTAAAAACAGGCAATAATTGTCTAAAAATTAGAAACAAGAAATATAAATTCGATTTGTAGTGTGTCTGTACGTATTTTTTATTGCTAATGAAATTTCAGAACTTAATGTAATTAATAGTTTAGAAATTTAAAACTCAAATGACAGAATCCCTAATCCATAGTATCCTTTGCTATCTACGAAAATCCAAAACTTGGTTGATGATGTTGATTTTTCTTTTGAATTTTTAATGCATGATTAAATTGTATTTAAATTCATATTTGTAACAAAAATCTTTCTGGGAAAATATCGATTTTTGCAGTTAATTTCGAATTATTCAACTATGATTTAAGCTTATGTTAGATAAAAAAATAATAATTTGGAAATGACTGGTTTATCAAATAGAATTGAATAAAAATATCTGAAATATAATTTGAAAATTTCAAAATATTCAGTGGCATCCAAATTCAGGGGTTCTTAGAATGTTACCTCTGGTGTCTCCGCCTTTAGCTGATGTAATTAATTATGTACGAATTCAGTAAATTTTTATTTTCACTTATTGTTGTAGTTAAACTGCTATCTCAATTTATGTCAAAAACAATTCGAAATATTGGCGTATTTATGATACACACTTCTCAAAACACTCATAGTTTTGAATATAAATTCAAATAAACTTGTTTTCACTAAATTGAACAAGAATGCAACTTTTTTTTTTAATCAATTGTGATGTCTAATTTTTAATACCAACTATTCAAACTTTAAGAAAAATTGTTCAAACTAGAATAAGTTCTTGGTTTTAGGGGCAAACATTATTTGATTGGACATACTTAGGTATATATTTTAAAATAGATGAAACTACGAAACTATAGACTGAACAGTAACAAATATTTACAGTGTCGGAGATACATAAAGATTTATATGTATATTCATTCAATAACACAGCCACACAAAAAAAAATTGTCTGTACTTTTCATGGGACATACATATGTTATCCGTAGTACTTTTGCCTCCTGATCCGGTGCCAGAATTGAGCTATTAAGTATATCACAGGAATTTCCTAACCTTAAAGGACAGGTCAAATATACCAAAAATTCACGAAAAAGTGCTATGAAAAAAGATTTTTTTTTCATATTCAAATGTTCATTTATATAGTTAAGACCCCGACGAACGAGAATCCGCAGTCAGAATTGATGTGTCACGTGATGGTTCTTTTTCTAACCTCAAAAAAACGGTTCAATCAAGATTATATATCACGAATTTTAAAAAAATAAGAGATTCGCGCCAAGTTTGGTATACGAGGGTTTTCGGGGTTGCTGATCACAGATCCGAGATCAATTTTGCAAAATTCAAGATGACGGATCCAAGATGGCCGACCAAATTTTCAAAAGATAACAGATTCGCACCAAATTTCGTATTCGGGGGGTTTTGGGGTCGCTGATCACGAATTCGAGATCAGAATTGCGAAATTCATTTTTTAATATTTTTGTTTACTTTATAAACTGAGTACCCAATCATGTTTTAACCTTCTTTTTTTCGGCTATATCTTGTTCGCTTTTCTGAAAAAATCTATTCATGGGTTTTCTGCCTAATCGCAGGAAATAAAGGACATAGGTAATTGATTAATGTAAAAACGAATTTTGCAAATCTGATCTCGGATTCGTGATCAGTGACCCCGAAAACCCCCGTATATCAAATTTGGTGGGAATGTGTTATTTTTATAAATTTGGTCTTCCATCTTGGATCCGCCATCTTGAATTTTGCAAAATTGACCTCGGATCCGTGATCAGCTACCCCGAAAACCCCCAAAGGTGCGAATCTGTTATTTTTTGAAAATTCGTGATATTTGACCTTAATTGACCCGTTTTTTGAGGTTAGAAAAAGAACCATCACGTGACACATCAATTCTGACCGGGGATTCACGTTCAGAGGGGTAAAAAAAACACTTTTTCGTCAATTTTTGCTATTTTTGACCTGTTTCTTGAGGTTAGGCAATTTCTCTGTGTGAGCTCAATTCTGACACAAAATTCGTGATCAGGAGGCAAAAATACTACGGATAACATATGTCGCATGAAACGTACAAACAACTTTTTTTTTTGTGTGGCTGTGTAATTAATGTCTGAAAAGTAATATAAAAGCATAAGGCGGAGCACAAATTATGTAACTAGTTTACTCACCTTTATATAGTTCCAGACGTCAAAATTTTCAACACTAAGTGTGACACATGTTTTGCCTGGATATATTGTAACTGTAGATATTCCGAAGTTGTGAACATAGACCTGACCAATATAAGTTGGGATATTGTTCTTATCATGTCCTCCCTCCACAGCGTCTTCTGGTATCATGCCTGTGTAATCCCTCCAGTAATAACCTAAAAATTAGTACTTAGAAAATTTTGTGCACCTATCATTTACAAGTGTTACCCTGAGTTGATCCACCCAACATTTTCAATCGCTACTTGAGGCTCAAACAAATAAAACACTGTCAATTATGGTTCTGTATTTTTATGTGGTTTAATGGTGGTGAATACAATAAGAAAATATATACGGAGCGAGATCTATTTTATCGGTTAATCAACTACAGATATAAACGCATGATCAGCAAGTACAGTGTGGTAAAAAAAAATTTCACCGAAATAATCGCTTTTGGCATAGTATATATTTTATAGATATCAGTCAATGTCAAATTATTATCAGTCTATGAGAACTTTAATTCTCTGTTAAGAAATGTAGCTATTTAATTTTAATATACATTCGTTTTATCTTTTTAGTGTTTGTATGCTCCTTGTGACAACTCGGGTAGTGGTCACCAAAAAACGTATGTGTAGTATGCTGTAAACTACTTTTTTCTATTCATCTAAAACGGATTTAAACTGATGCAAACTACCCCTGCTGTTCATCCCCCAATAAACGGGTTCGGTAATTTCCATTTTGTTTCATTCCAAAATATTTATTAGAACCCGAGATATCACGGATATACTGTTTTTGGGGGTGAACATCAGGGGTAGTTTGCATCTGTTTAAATCCGTTTTAGACCAAGAGAAAAAATTATTCGTATGATTAGAGAAAAAGTTAAGACATTTTTCGCACACTAGGGGATTACTAGGGGATTATTCGCCCCCTAAAATGAGAAATTATTTTTGTCAATTTGTTTACATAAATCATATTTTTAATATTTTGAATCAATATGAATTTTTTATATATAAAAAATGTTTGAAAATATACTTAGTTTTCCTGAAATAAAAAATAAGGGTTGCAACCCCCAAACACGAAATCACTTGTGAAACATTTTATTTTTTTAAAAGAAGTAATTTCCATTTTATTTCATTTCAAAATATTGAGATGTCACAGAAATATTTTGGGGGTGAACATGAGGGGTAGTTTGCATCCGTTTAAATCTGTTTGCGGCTAATAGAACAAATTATTCGTATGATTAGAGAAAAAGTAAAAACTTTTTATTTTGCAATGTTAATTCTAATCGTACAGACATTTTTAGCACACTAGAGGGTTGTTCACCCCCTAAAAAGAGAACTTTATTTTGTCAATTTCTTTACATAAATCATATTTTTTATTTTTTTTAATATGAATTTTTTTATATATAAAAAATGTTTGAAAAATATAGTTTTTCTGAAATAAAAAATAAGGGTAGCAACCTCCAAACACGGAATCTAATGTGAAACATTTGTTTTTTTATAAGAAACAATTTCCATTTTTTTTTCATTATAATGTTTATCAGAACTCCAGATATTTAGAAAAAACTGTTTTGGGGGGGGGGCGAACTTTGAGGATGTATTTCACCCCCTAAATATGTTTTTTCGCCGATAAAAAAAGATATGTCATTTAATTTTTTATGTTCTACAACTGAGTCTACAACATATATACAAATATTGGAAATCGGAGAGTTTGGGTTAGGGTAGTTTCCTTGTTAGATCCTTCTTCGCTTGAATTAACCTAACAATAATTTTAGGGTAAATGCTTACCTAAATTACTTAAATTTTACAACTTACCTTCGATGTGCGTTTATAAAACCGGCAAGTAAATGTAAATTTAACAAGCCGTTCATTTTCATTACACAAATAACACATACGTTAAACTATAGCAACACCAAATTCCTTGCCTTTAAGAAACTCTGTTATAATTTAAGATAACGTGTTACAAACTATTTTATGTCGTACTTACCCGTTATTTACGAGTTTGCATGTGTTTCATGTTTCATAACCTAAAAGACATCTGTCAGTTATATATGTTTTTGTCTAATACTGACTCTTGTGTATAATAATTTTGCATAATTATTATTAAAAATGTCGACACAAAAGCGTCTTCAAAAAAACAACAAAATTGCAATACGAGTATTTGCTAAAAATGGTCTTAATTCCTCAATAACATGCACGTTATATCTTAACAGTTAACGTTAACAATCCTGAAATAACATAACTGTTATTATGATAAAATGGGATACATACTCGGCCTGAATATTATTTTTTAATGAATTAGACTTTTTTGAAGAAAAAGTATCTCTACTTTTTTTCGAATTCCGCGTAGTTTACTCAGAAATAATTATTTTTTAAATAATGCATGGCTCAGAACAGTAGGTAACATTTTAATATTTTCACCCCTGGAGGCCCATATTGCTCCGGTGGACCAATGTAGGAACTTTTTTCACTATTTTTGGCTCTACTCTCACCTCCTTAAATTTTGTGGAAACTTTTCCAAACAGCCTGTATAATTATTATTTACACTATGTTCTTACTGCATAGTGCATAGCTATAGTAATAGGTGTTTTCTTGGATATATTGTAAAGGGAACAATGCCGTAATATTTAACAAAAATCTGATCAATATATGTTGTGCCGTTGTGTATATCCAGTCGTCTTCAACTATATAGTACATTCAATAGTAATCGAGAATATACATAATGTATTTTATCTATTAAATCTCCCACTTACAACTTAGGATATCTTACCATATGGCAAACTATTCGACATTTTTTGTTAAATTTCTCGTTCACTGTACCAAGTGAAGGAACTAAAGTGTGTATCATTCCCTATGGACCAGCATTTATGGTAAAAAAATTGTTAAAATTGTCTTATCAGTCCTCTCTGGTTAGACTAGATTAGGCATATTTACAATATTCTGTTAAGATTAAATTTATTATTCACTGATTATGAAATAAAATTGTCAAGGTCATTACCAGCCAGATTATAAAGACCTCTTTGCATGTGTTCAGACGTGACTCATCGAAAACAATAATAATATTGATTATACGGATATAAGGATTAAAAATTCAGTGAAATTAGACGGATTTAAAACGCTTAATATTCCTTAGTTAAAGTACTTAATGGATATAATAATAATAATATTGCTACCCCTCATTGCACGTAAGAATTAGCCCAGAAGTCGGAGACTTGTGAGGGAGAGGGAGCGGCACATTATTCTTCAGTAGGCCACATGTGCGCACAGAAACGACTTACGTTGGTAACCACCTTTCAAGGCAGGAATAACTGAAACCTGGAAAACCTCATTAATTAGGGAGGTGGTCAAAGGCCGACAGGTATCAATCTTTCACGTTCACCAAGCCAACGTTCTGCAACCCTACCATACCCACAGAGAGAGTGCCTAATTCTTCTCTACGAATATAGCTGATCTACGGTCCATCGATTCAAGTACTGACACCTCGAAACGCTCAACCACTGTCCGATTTAGATGAATAAAAAATGTACTTTATGGCCTTTAATTTATCTTTACAGTTCAAGTTTTAAGAGCTCTCTGTTCAAACGAAGTTGTCAATCAAAAACTTTTTACCGTACAACGTTGATATTCTTTTCTGCAAAATGAAGCAAAAGCAAATGATAACGTTGCATGTTTAGAAATATATTCTGTTTATAGAACCCTGATATATCTCGCGATGAGAGAGCAAGTTAAACTACAAAGTAATGGGGTCATTGGAGTTATCGGTTATAGGGTTGTGGGAATGTGTTATGGTGTTTGGAGGTTTGAGGTTGAATGTATAGGAATATGGGGTTATTGTTATATTGACAGCTTGGGTTATCAGTAAAATCTGACGTGATGGGGTTACATGTATTCGGATTCAGCAACCTTGAAAACATATAGTAGACGTAATCTAACCTTCAGACTCGAATCACATTTTTTTGTGTGGCTGTGTAATTGATTAAACGACTTTTCACACCAGAACGCGTTTGTGAACAAAAAGCTCCCTATGCTTATTTCGTAAACATGTTCCTACTACTCATTTACTATTTCTAAGCATTGAAATTTATCAAAAACAAATTATAAAATTATTTTCTCTTAATTTAACGTATAATAAAGTTGCACCAAATTTTAACAGAAAAATTACCAATCCCATTTTTTGTTGTGATTTACTATATTTTGACCCCCCTTTAACTATTTTGTTTTAAGAGTTATAAAAAAATGTGAAATACCAAAGATGCACGAGTTTTTATGAATTTTTCGAAAATAATAGTAGAAAAACAAATGAAGTCCAAACAAAATGGCCGCGGATGTTAACCTTTGTTAAGTTAAATGGAACACCCTGTATATTTTTACATATTTGGATGGAACGTTCCCTGTCAAGCATAGTCATGTAGGTTTGTTGGGTTCATCTCTAACACTAAGCGAGATATTAAAACATGAAAAGAAGGTCTTTTTATTACGAAAATAAAATATCGTGTAGTTGTTAAACCTCTTTCAGGCATTTCTTTTTCCAATTACGTAAGGATTTACAGATTTAGTTATAATATATTTTGACAGATCGGACATTGGTATGGTCTAAAATGCGTATAGGTATTTTAACTAAATCTCACTAATTAGGCCGTGAGAGGCCTAATTACTCATGGACAATGTTATGGTAGGCCGTGACAGTGACAGGTAATCTCATGACAACATTCTTATTGATCGACAGTTTGTATTATGATTTAATTAAAATAGGTTACACAGAAGTAGAAATATTATTAGGAATTCAAATAGAGTAAAGATNACAGTGACAGGTAATCTCATGACAACATTGTTATTGATTGACAGTTTATAGTATTATTTAATTAAAATGGGTTACACAGAAGTAAAAAATTGAAATATTATAGGAATTAAAATATAGCAAAGTTCTTCTGCATTATCTATTTTAATTCTAAATAATTTTCTACTTCCTGTAACCTATTTTAATTAAATAATAATACAAACTGTCAATCAGTAACAATGTTGTCAAGACATTACTACCTGTCACTGTCACGACCTACCATATAATGTCCATGAGTAATTAGAACTCTCACGGCCTATAATTAGTGTTTTTTTCGTTACATTACCTATACGAATTTTAGACCGTAAATACGTAAATCTTTACGTAATTGGAAAAATGGCAGAAATGCCTGAAAGAGGTCTAACAATTACAGGATGTATTATTTTCTTAATAAAAAACCTTCTTTTCGTTTTTTAATAGTATCCTTGCTCATTGTTGGAGATGGACCAAACAAACTCTATATGACTATGCTCGAAAGGGAACTTTCTATCCAAATATGTAAAAATATACAGGGTGATCCATTTAACTTAACAAAGTTAACATCCGCGGCCATTTTGTTTGGACTTCATTGATTTTTCTACTATCATTTTCGAAAAATTCATAAAAAATCGTGCAACTTTTTACTTCACATCTTTTTATAACTCTTAAAACAAAAAAGTTAAAGGGGGTCAAAATATAGTGAATCACCCTGTACCTATATATAAGATTATATAAAATTTTGTTTCACAACATATTTAATATTGTAAGTGCCAAAATTATTAAATTAAGCTAATAATAGGCGTGTTGGCTTCAGTCATAGAGACACCTCTGATAAAACAAAATAGCATCAGATGTGAATCCTGATATAATTCTACAACCATCTGGTTCTGTTGTAAGCGATGAAAAGGCGTAGTGACTAATTTCTACATTTTTCATTAGTGTAACAAATAATATTCCAGATATTGTGCTGTAAACAGAAATTCTATGTAGAGAAAAAATTAAAAACATATAAAAGGAAATGCTTTAGTTTATAAACAAACAGAGATATACACGCACATATTTATTAAAATATTGTTAATGAATATAAAAAGAATACCAACAGCAGTTTTATTATCAAACCATCAGATATACTGCTGAAGGCAGTTGCGTTACCTACCAGTAAATTCATTGTTATGCCATAAAAATTATAAAGCACTAGGTGTCTTAACAGAATTTAAATCTGGACCGTCGTATATTAAAACTTCATAAGATTCCGCGTGCTTTTCTTCGTTTCCGGCAGGAAAGAATAGTTTCGCGTTTCCAACATTAAATCCACAAACTTTGGCGACCAATAGCTCACCTTGGTACTTTATTCTGCCGATATTACTCACAAGCCCATACTCCACTCCGCCTCGTACCAAATGTTTGTTAATCGTTTGTACATGGAGTCTATTTGCATCTGCTGGAAACCATTTGAAATTTTCTTTGGAAGAACTGCACAAGATCTAAAAAACAGATATACATAAAAAGGTCTGATAAAATAGTCTTTGTCATGTAGATACTTGCAGAAAATAATTATATAAACAAATTTTAAGATGATTTAGAAAATATTAGATATAAAAATGAACGTAAGAAACAGAGGAAACTAGAATTTGTACAATGAGAAAATTCATAAAATGAAATTAAAAAAAATAAAAAATCTGTGAAAAATATACATGCTCTTTCTATTTTGAAATATTACATACAAATATAAAATAAATAGCAGTTTATAAAATTTTTTTCTTTTGTAACAAACTTATTTTTCTAATTACAGGGTGTTAAAAAAAGAGTGTAAAATATTTAAGGAGGTGATACTATGAACCAAAATAAGCAGAAAAGTCTTAATAAACATGGGTCCGCAAAGTAACGGTTGCGGAGATATGGACCACTATTCGTTTTTCAAACATTTTATTTTATTAGGAATAAACCGACAAAGGAAGCTTTTAACAAACAAAAAACAAAGTTACAGAAGATGTTCAAAGTGCCCTCCGTCCATTTCCAAGCAGGCACGACATCTTCGTCTCAACGATATTCGAACTCTTTCGAAAACACCCTCCTTGGTTTGGATTTCTTGACACTTTTGATTAATCCGTAGCTGCAGCTCTTCCAGGCTATTTACAGGAGTACCATACACTAATGTCTTCAAATATCCCCAAACAAAGAAATCTAGAGGGTTCAGATCAGGCGATCTTGGAGGCCATAAAACAGGTCCGGCCCTTCCTACCCATCTATGTGGAAAAGTTTGGTGTAAATGCTCTCTAACGGCCATGGAAAAATGAGCTGGAGCACCATCATGCTGGAACCACATTTGTTGCCTCTGATTCAAAGGAATGTCTTCCAAAAACTCATACAGTGTGTTCTGCAGAAAGTTGAGGTAAGCAGCGCCTGTTAATCGGTTTGGTAAAACAACAGGACCTAGAAACCTGTCACCTACAATACCCATCCAAATGTTTAATGAAAAACGTGCCTGATGTCCAGATTCTATTAGAGCATGAGGATTTTCGTCGGCCCAAATATGCGTATTGTGAAAATTAAACACTCCATTTCTTGTGAACCCGGCCTCATCAGTAAAAAGAATGTTTGCAAGAAAACGAGGGTCTTCAGCATCATGACGTAGAAACCAGCGGCAAAAAACCAAACGTGCTTGATGATCATTTATTGGATTTAAGGCCTGTACTCGTTGCACATGGTATGGATAAAGCAGTTGCTCGTGAAGGATTCTCCAAACAAGAGGACCACTAATTCCTACCTCGGCTGATATTCTCCGCACACTCGTACCTGGATTCTGCTCTACCAGTGCTAGAATTTCTTCTTCTGCTCTAGGAGTGGATACCGACCTTGGTCTTCCGGATAAATGGCACTGTTTGCTCAAGGAACCGGTATCACGCAATCTTTGGTGAATTCTTCCAAACATGCGTTGTGAAGGAATCTGGCGATTTGGATAAGCGTCAACATAAAGACGTCGCGCTTCGGTGGCGTTCCCATTAGCACGACCATACATGAAATGCATGTCTGTTAATTCTGCGTTAGAGTAACCAGCCATAGCGAAAGAAAACTTGTGCACTGAGAACAACTGTCAAATACGTACTGTTTATTTCACTAAACATCAACCAACTATTATAAGAAAATACACAACGTTTTTGCAAAATAAAAAAAGGGGCTAAAAAACATAAAACATTCCATATCTCCGCAACCGTTACTTTGCAGACCCATGTTTATTGAGACTTTTCTGCTTATTTTGGTTCATACTATTACCTCCTTAAATATTTTACACTCTTTTTTTAACACCCTGTATATTGTATTGTATATAAAATTACTACATTAGGGAAATATATGGCATGCAAATCTTTCCTAGTTTTTCATTTTTTCTTTTTTTGATTTTGTGAATTTATCCGTTACAGACTTTTGGTTCCTCTTTTCCATTATCAATTTGCTTAAATATATCAATCTTTTCCGCAATATTACGAACAGACGCATGTGGATTGACTGCTATAGACGCAAGAATATTGATAGTATTTTCTTCGTCTCTTGCCAAACGTACATGCTGAACTCCTCTTGGGTTTGGAAATGAACCAGTATGCAATTTTCGGTCTACATTAGATAATGTTTGTCTAGATGGCACTTGTCTATTAGGAAATCTTTCCCTATGCAATTGTTCCGCGGCTCTGGAATTCTTTCGACACTCCCCATAAATAAGTAACATATCAACATATTATTTATTTGGTGTAAAAATTAATGGCATATCTAATACTTATTTGAAAATTAAATGGAGTTTGAAATTTTATTACTGTCAATAAAACTGTCCCAAAGCTAGATTGACGAATTTTTGACGTGTAGTCAACACATACTTTATTTATTTAAGGGTATGGAAAAGGTCTGAATCAAGATTAAACTGTTCATATATCGTAAACGGTTAACCCCAGAAAAAATGCATCTTTTATACTTAAGTTTTTTTAATTTACAAAAATGTCACAAAAATTATTGTTAAATGAAATATTAATTAAAATTTCAATTTCGGAATTATTTTACTATTATTAAATAAATAAATGAAGCAATCGTTCATTTAAAAAGTAATTTTTTTACATATTAAGCCAAAGTAAACTTATTTTTTCAATATTTTGTTAGTTATTTAATTACGATTTAAATCTAAAATTAAAGTATATTCACAAATTATTTTCAAATTATTATTTATTGTTAAAAGATTTAAAAAAGAATAAAAAGCATTTGAATTTATTGCAAAATTCTCAAAATTAAAAAATATTAAAAATAACGCGGTCGATAAAATTACAATTTTAACTTCCTGAAATTTTAATATATAAAGTTTTTTATTATATTTATTACTAATTTTAAAAATAATCAAAATTAATTCAAAAAATATTAATCACAACCATTTTCAATAATAGATATAAATAATGCAATATAATACAATTTAAAATTTAAAATTTTTTCTATTTTTATGAGAAATAATAATTTGAAAATAATTTATGGATTTTTACTTTAATTTTACATTTAAATCGTAATTAAATAGCTAACAAAATATTGAAAAAACAAGTTTACTTTGCCTTAATATGTAAAAAAAATAACTTTTTAAATGAACGATAGCTTCATTTATTTATTTAATAATAGTAAAATAATTCCGAAATTGAAATTTTAATTAATATTTCGTTTAACAGTAGTTTTTGTGACATTTTTGTAAATTAAAAAAAAATTAATTATAAAAGATGCATTTTTTCTGGGGTTCAGGGCTATTATACGACTTCATAAATATGCTCATTCTTATTTTTTCGTCGTTAAAAAAATAAAATAAGTTTCTACGATGAATAGAAGCCGAGATATTGTAAAATTTACAGTGCGCATCAATTTGAACTGGTATTAACTTTTCTCGCGCGCGCGACTCGCTTGGACGAGCTTCCCCCACCACCATGCCACCACCCGCCGGACAGTTTACTTAGCGAGTACCTTCTCTGTAAAGGGCTCCTGAGTCGTTAGTTTTTCACATTTTTCAATGCAATTCACGGGAAATCGTAGTTTACGTCGCAAACTTTAATTTGCGAAAAATTCAAGTCTTAATATTTATAAACAATTGCGCTGCGATTTTTTTTTTAATTCTTATCTTGGCTCCTGTTGGTCGTAGAGGATGTTTTTTTTAAATTTGTATTTTTTTGCCAGCTTTCCATTGTATCTATTTTCGGTGAGGCAGCACAAATAACAACAATTTTATTCAAATTGTTTGTAAGCGAAAAACGCACGGTTTTTTAATGCACAATTTGAGAATGTTATTGTCAAAAAAACGGTGATATTTTTTAATAGGTGGTTTAATTAGGTACGTCTTTAATATTACAATGACGCTTTCAGAATCATGTTTGGTTGAAAATTAATGCCTGATACAGAGGCTTAAAGTTCATAACTTTTGGAGCCTCCGTTATAAGCAAATTGAATTGTGTGAAAACTATTGCACCTACAGCGCCCACTTTTGGCGCACTTTTAAAGTATGACAAAACCCTCAACTTGTCATAGGTTTTATAAAAATTTAACAATAAATGCGATAGTTATAAACAAATTAAAAAATTGGGCACTTTTCTTGTTTTTTACGATTACTTTTTTGTTTATTAACCGATTTTTATTTAACAAGTCTTATTTTGTAGATAATTTTACTCCCTACAAGCTGTCTGTGAGTCACTTTTCGCTAAAATTGATGGTTTTCCCTGCAAAGTGAAAAAACTGTTTTCCTCACTTATTTGTTTAAATAGAAAAGTTAGCTAATAACAGTTTTTGACTCACGAGATGAGAGATGTCTTGTATTATGTTCCTTTAGACAATTTTACAATAATCTCGCAGATAGGACTTTTTTCGTGTTTCTCTTTTATTTTCGCTAATTTTCCTGGTGTAGATTGTTAACTGTTGATATTGCGGAAAACAACTACTCTGTTTTAAGTATTAAAGAGTCATCTTATAAAAATCACCAACAGTACCTAGGTTGAATATTCTAGTTTCTAATAATGAATAATTTTTATTTACAACTTCAGCCGTCTCATTTAAAATTCGTAACTTCGGAAAATACATAGACTCTTCTGAATTTTGCGTGACTAATATGCGCACCATAGGGAGAACGAAACTTCTTTTTTCGAATTAGTTTTTCTATAATATCTATATAATCTTAAGTATTTATAAAACAAAATTTTAGTTAAAGAGAATAATTTGGAAGCAAATGTTTGGTTACCTTTATATAGCTACTGAGGCGATGTATCCCATTTATATTCGCTGTGACAGATTTTATTCCTGGATATATGGTAACAGGAATAATTCCATGATTTTTAACAAAAACCTGGCCAATATATGTTTTCCTATTATTCACATCACGCCCACCTTCTACAGCATCTCCTGGTATGTCACCTGTATAATCTCTCCAATAATAATCTAAAAATTGTTGAAACAGAAAACTTACAACATCACTCATTATGTTTTACCGTAATTTATGTCACAAAACATATTACTGATGCAACCAAAAATTATTGCCAGCTTGAAAAAATTATTCAATTCCATTTTACAGGCTTTGTGCTTTCAAGAAATAATCTATACAACTAGTCTCTCATTAATTGTATTATCATGGAAGTGGTTTGGTGCAAGTGATAACTAACACATGATAAATAAGGACGTATTTTCCAGTGAAACAACTATGTAGTTAAAATGTCGTTATATTTAACTTATATACAGGGTGTTGCATCACGAGAAGGACATGGGAGATAGAGGACATCTAGTGTAACTAGGATCGCCTATAGAAATAACTTCTTGGCCATTCTTTATTGAGATACAGGGTGATTTATGATTTTTGGTCAAAACTGCTTTATGTCATAACTTTGGTAGGGAATGGAATAATGGGTTCAATTTGGTAGGGTTAATGCACTCACGATACTTCATGTATGCATGTATGACAGCAAAACAAATCTAGGTCCGGACTGCAAAAATTATAAATTTTTTGTGCAAGTCTAGAAAACAACACTCTGTATGTATTTTTTTGAAATTCCGATACGATATTCGGAAAGAGCATAAAAAAGTGATCTTAAAGACGTTTAAATAAGCTATTGTATATACGAGACTACGGCTTCTAAAACTAAATTACGTAAAGTACACATGATAAAAATGGTTTGGAACTAAAATTAGCGAAGGATTAATTGAGGGTAGATTTTGTAAATAAGCATGCACATTTTAAACCTCATTTTCTTTAAATAATATGTATTCCAGGTCCGGACTGCAAAATTTTTAATTTTTTTTGTAACTCTAGAAAACATCGCCCAGTATGTATTTATTTGGTATTCCCATACGATTATCGAAAAGAACATAAAAAAGTAATCTCAGCGACATGTCTTTTTTTCTTGTTACAATTTGATGATTACTACGCTATTCAATGTACGGTAACAAGGCTTTTAAAATGAAATTACGAGTAAGTAAAAAACACATTACATGAGTAAGTAAAAGATACATGATCAAAATAGTAGTTTATTTCTTTTAGTAAATAGGATTTCCAAAAAATAGAAATAAAAAAGCAAATGGGCACAATGACTATTTAATAAAACACGGAAAACAAATAACAATAAAACACAAAGAAAATAATAGGTGTCTAAATGTACTTTACAATGGCAAATTAATTTTATAGCAAATTTGCAAAAGTGGCCTCCTCAACTTCGATACATTTTCATACTCGTTTAACCAAGTTTCCAATTGCTCGACGTATCGATGGCAATCGAAATCGACGGATTATAATTTATTTTTTGTCATGTGCTTTTATCATGCGATTTTAAATAATCGTCAAAGTGTAACAAGAAAAAGAAACATGTCGCTGAGATTACTTTTTTATGTTCTTTTCGATAATCGTATGGGAATACCAAAAAAATACATATAGGGTGATGTTTTCTAGAGTTACAAAAAAAATTAAAAATTTTGCAGTCCGGACCTGGAATACATATTATTTAAAGAAAATGAGGTTTAAAATATGAATGCTTATTTATAACATCTACCCTCAATTAAGCCTTCGCTAATTTTAGTTGCGAAACCATTTTTATCAATGTGTCCTTTAGGTAATTTAGTTTTAGAAGCCGTAGTCTCGTATATTCAGGAGCTTATTTAAATAACCACCAAAGTGTAACAAAAAAAAGAAACACGTCTTGAAGATCACTTTTTTATGTACTTTCCGAATATCGTATCGGAATTTCAAAAATATATATACAGAGTGTTGTTTTCTAGACTTCAACAAAAAATTAACAATATTTGCAGTCCGGATCGGGACATTTTTGCTGTCATACATGAATACATGAAGTATCGTGTGAGCATTAATCCTATCAAATATGAACCCATTATTCCATTCTCTACCAAAGTTATGACATAAAGCAGTTTTGACCAAAAATCATAAATCACCCTGTATCTTAATAAAGAATGGCCAAGAAGTTATTTCTATAGGCGATCCTAGTTATCCTAGATGTCCTCTATCTCCCATTAAGCCATGTCCCTCTCGTGATGCAACACCCTGTATTGTTGTGATTATGTATTTGTGTTGTGTAAGCGCCAAAAAATATATTTTTTTTTATAGTGATATGAAATTTGTTTGTATAATTGTTTTGGTGTACTGTTGGTTGTCTAACTTTGCCCTGTCTAGCTCTTGACCCTTCTCAGTAGTAGGTTCAAATGAAGGTATTACTCAGCATGAAACCACACACAACACTAAACAAAAGATGTTATTAATAAATTAATTTATTATTATTCTGTTTTATATAGCAATAAAATTCAAATAAGGAATGTCAAACACTGTTGCAAGATATTTTGAAATCTCCTACAATATTTCACTTTGAACAAGAATTTATCTCGATATGGTTACTTTACTTAATTTCATGTATTATTGGTTGCCTGCAATATGAAATTGAAATTTTTATCATATAACTTCTTGTTCAATGTGTTGTTACTTATTTCTAATATTAATGTCTATAATTTTAAAACAATTGGCCAATTTTGATGATAACTTATATTGTGAAATGAAATTTGAATGATATGAAAAATTTTGAATATCTGAAATTTTTGTATTCTACCCTTTTTATTTTACTTTTGAATCTATGTTGGCTAGCTATTTCGTATACGAATTTTGATTTAATTTGTGCACACAACGACAAGAAAAAAAGTACCTTTTTTACGTCTTATTGCTTGATTACTTGTCGACTAGCTTCCCGCTTTTACTCTGCTTAAATGTTGTTCTGGACTCCTTGTCTCTCCTCTGTCGCTGGATTTCCGGAACCTGCCTGCTACTCCGCTTTCTCTCTGGATTCCTGGAACCTGCTGCTGCTATTCCGCTTTCTCTATGGATTCCTGGAACGTGTTGCTGCTATTCCGCTTTCTCTATGGATTCCTGGAACCTGCTGCTACTATTCCGCTTTCTCTATGGATTCCTGGAACGTGTTGCTGCTATTCCGCTTTCTCTATGGATTCCAGGAACCTGCTGCTGCTATTCCGCTTTCTCTCTGGATTCCTGGAACCTGCTTCTGCTATTCCACTCTTACCGGCTTCCTGGAACTTGCTTGCTGGTATTCCGCTCGCCCTGGATTTTTCTTGAGTCACTTTTACAAAACTTTCTTTTATATATTTGGTTTCTCCCAATTTGCTTCTTTTATACACTCTTTCACGATAACTGCTTCTATTTTATCCGGTTTTATCAATTAATTTCGGCAACACCTATCTCTTTGACAAATTTTTTCTGGTAACTAATCAATAATCATTTTATTTTTTTCTTTCTTACTCTCTTGATTTTCTTCACCCTTGTTAGGGCCTTTCCACATATATGCCTTTGCTTTTTAAATGCCTTTTACCTTTTACACATCACATCACTTCACTTTATCCTTTACAAATATACAACCTATTCTAGTTTCTTCACAAAAATTTTTAAATTGTGTTTCAAAATATTTCTTATTCTATAATTTTATTTGACTTTTATATGTACTATTTTATGCCCTGTGGATCCAACTTTAATTTTGACATTTACCTGACATTTTCATCTTATTGTTAGGTATACAATATTAATTTTAACTATGTTTTTCTAATAACATCTTTGGCATGTACTCTATTTGATCAAAATGATAATAATTTTATACTTGTATTCTTGAAATTTATTTTGTTCTAATAATCCGACTTTCTTCTAATGATTCATAATACTTATTCAATACTAACAAATTTTGTTGTATTTAAATAGAATTTTAATTTAACTTTTAAATTGCTCTCACTAATCTGATTTCATCTCAATATATACTATTTATAAATGCGCCTGAATAAAATATGTACTTCATATTTTATTTTTACCTGTTTCTCTTGATACATACACGAAAAAAAATCTTTTAACTGAATAAATAACGAAAACGAATAATGAAATATTAATTCCTGTCTACTTAATTAATTGTTTTAATTTTCATAAAACAAAATATTTCGCAACCAACTACAAAATAACTAATCATTTAGAAAATCAATAGTTGTTACCTTGAATCATGCTCTTATGATTAATTTTTGTTTAATTTTCAATAACAATGTGTATTTTTTATAGATATACAGGGTTCCTCACGGCAAGTGGCCTATTAAACATTTCAAAGGAACCAAAGGCAATATGACTCTGAAATTTTGTATACAAGGGTTATCAGATATGTTCTCTTCAATGAAAATAATGCCATCAACGTCCGGTATAACCGGAAAATGTAATCGATATGCAGGGTTCTTCACGGTATGCGGCCTATTAAACGTTTTGTTTAGGGGGGTTATCAGATAATGTTCTATTCAATGAAAATAATGCTATCAACGTGACATTTCAAGTTATACCGGAAATAGCCGTTAGCTTCATTATTTTAAATGGAACACCCTATATATTATTGCATTATCAACAAGATAAATTAAAAATAAGTAAAAAATGTCAAAGCTTCCCTGCACCTATTTATTCTAAACGTTTTGAAGATAATCGACATTTTATAAAAATTTTGACAGATGCAAGCGTTATTATTATTACTTTTTCCACTTTATAGTGATTTATAGTTATTTTTCAAGCATTAAAAAAAGAAGAAATTATCCAAGGAATTATGCTACAGTGTGACTTACTGATTGAAGCGTGTTATAAATCAAGATGTTGATAAAGAAGGCGTTTGTGATAGTAAACCGAGTTTGAATATTTAGGTGTTGGTTTGGTGAATTAAAAAATGTTGGTCGGTGATCCTTACACGGAAAAGAATGTCATGTAGAAAATTGCTTAGTTTTCTCCATTACTTATTACTCTTTGCTTATTATCGCCACTGTTTATTGCTTATTTTCTCTTATTTCTTATTTTTGCTTATTATTGCTTATTATCTTACTATTTTATTATCCTCCATTTTGTGTAAAAATCAGTCAGTCTTTCATAAAAAAACGTAATAACATTGCCTTATAGAATTTTACAATATAAATCTATGATTGTGGAAGTGGAAAGTAGTATGTATATTGTGAAAATATTAACTAAAACGTATTAGTTTTATGTTGATAAGTAGGTTGTATTTTTCTAAATTTATTTGTAAAAATTTTTTAATTACAATCCGACTTTAACATGCACAGTTTTTCGTTACACCTGTAGCTTTTACGTCTTTATTATGTTAGATTTTCTAGCTTTAGTTTTGTTACATTTGCACACGTATTAAGTGTTGCTCTTGGTATCCACCTTAGTTGTTAACAATGGTTTCCAAATTAGTTTGATGACTACACTTGAATACTTGTTTTATTTCAATATTATAGTCTTCTTATAGTCATATGTGTTACTTCTGCAGCTTTGATTAATATAATCATTGTTTAAATAAAATTTATGTTTACGGTAAATAATTTTTAAATATATCAAACCTATTTATAGAAAACTTATAAACATTTCAAAAAGAACTTTCAATAGTTATGTAGTAGTAAAACTGCAATATATATATATTGAAATTTTCTTCGAAAATCTATGAAATTTTTATATTTTATTAGTATTTATTTAACATAATTATGTATAGCAAAATAGAAAGTGAACATATTTAATAAAATTGTAGTCAAGTGAAATAAATTGTAGTTGCAATTTTTTATATAATTTTTGGTCAATAGAGATAAAATTGGGCAAATTGCTGGTATAATTTTATTTCCATACGTCTTATAAAAATTAAGGAGTGAAAATTTGAAAATATGTGATTCGGGCTTATATTAATTTCATTAATTAAAGTTGCAGCACTTGCATAATTAAGTCTTTTATAAATTTTACGTTTTTTATGTAAAGGGGCATGACTGATTCATATTTTAACGGTTTAAGGTTTTAATACCATTTGTAGCGTAGTTATGTTCAGCATTAACAGATAATCAAGATTCTGTATCTATTCAGGGTGATTCACAACTTATCCAAAAAAATTTGGGAATAGATGCGGCATGAGAAATGGAGTCAATATCGTAAAAAAATTGTAAAATCCTTATAGTTTCCGAGAAAAAAATTATTGAAGTTATAGTACATTCAACCACTACATAGCTGGACAACTGTAGTCTCTAGCGTCATTCGCAATACGCGTGGAGAGCAACGTGGCCTTAGCGACTCCGAATACTGAAATTCGTCGTTGCGATAGTGTTTACCTCTTATCTGTGGTGTTTACAACAGTTTTTTAGTAGTTAGTGTCAAAAATGGTTTGCGTGCATAGCAACTCGGAGTTAATGGATATCGTTTTAATTTATGGTGAAGCAAGGCAACATTTGTATTATGGTGAAGCATTTGTGTAATGGTGAAACAAGACAACATTTGTGTTAATTCTTAGAAAGTGAGTAAGACGGACCCAAATGTGTTTACACGTTGGTGGATAAAATTTTGAACAATTGTTGTTGTAACATCGGGTATGTATATTTAAAAACACAAATTAATTTCATTAATTAATAAAGGCCAAATCATTTGAATTTGCCGATATAAAATAGGTGCTATTGTATTGTAATTGTATTTATTTCTTTCCTTGCGAAAGTTTTTCTCCGTTTTTATCACATAGCCATGCCGGTCGCATTGTGCGAGGACAGGTTTTACCCAGTTTCCAGTGTCGTGCAGAAGTGTATTTTTGAAGTAATATTGGATAAGTTCTGAATCACCCTGTATAATCATTTGTTCCTGTTCAAGTAGGTAGTAACAAATTTAAAATTCCATTCCGTACATTATGTTTCTTATATATTATTTTCAGAAATAATAAAATATTCGCAAGTCTATATTTCTGAAAGTACATAAATGTATACAGGGTGTTTCAATTAAAACTTCCCACCTGGAAAATATCAGAATTAAAACAAACAAAAAACACCTGAAACACGTCGATTTTCTTTTCAGTGGGGACACATGATGGCGTAAGTTTTGGTATCTTGGAAGCTACCCCTTAGACAGGGGTGTAAAATAGAATTAAACTTGTACTTTAAAATGCCACACTATGTTGAGTGACACCTCATTTTGACAACTTTTTCAATTCTGCTCACGACGACATACTACTTTGTAAATTTTGGGTTGGATATGGCAATAAAATATATTTATGTATATTTTACGTAAGAAATAAACCTGGAATTTTAAATAAAAAAAAATATATTTATTTAAATATTATAATGTAGATTTCAAGATTTGTCATTACTAATATAAAATATCATTTTTAATCCTCAGAGAACTATAAACCTCACTGTAGGCTAACTGCATACCTAAATTCATCAAGTATCTTTAGGAAAAATTTTGAATGCGAGGCTCAATAGAAAACAGATCTGGACCATCATATACTAAAACTTCATAAGTTTCAGCGGTTTTTTCTTGATTTCCAGCAGGGAAGAAGAGTTTCGCATCTCCAACAGCATATCCACAAACTTTGGCCACCAACAGCTCACTCTGGTATAATATCCTGCCAATATTGGTTACTTTGCCTTCCCATTCCACCCCACCTTTTACTAAATGTTTGTTAATCATTTTGACATGGAGAGTTTTAGCATCTGCTGGCAGCCATTTGAAATTTTCCTTACAGGAGCTGCATAAGATCTGAAATCAGTTGAATGATGTAATTAATAAGAATAAGAATACCCTTGGTTCAAAAATCGGAACATTTTTGTAAATATTAAGGTATATAGTACGTAGCATGTACTGGGTGAAGCAAAAGAAGGTACTTAAATTAAATTGACTATAATAATGTAAATAAAAAAATCAATATGTACCTATTTTTACGTTTTATCTTAATTCAGAGTTTAATTCTTTTTACTCTACTTATTTCAAAACGATATAAGCCAAGTAACAATCTTCATCATTCAAATGCAAGTACAGGAAGGACAGGGACTAGTACACATAACAATATAAATACCGATCAGAGGACTTAATCTCCAGTTTCAGACTTTCCTCTATGTACGTTTGTCGAAAGGGCAAGAAATCTAAACCAAACATGGCTATAAACCCGAAAACTTTTCAACCATGCTATTTATTAATGAAAATTTGAGAGACAGTTAAATCAGCTCGTCTAGGAAGTCATGGCAAATGACCAGAACGAGAAATTAACAGTTTTATAAAGGCCATAGTTTTCTTTCTTTATTCACAAATTAATAAATTGCAAGGCATTAAAACATTTATTTTTATACCTCATTATTTATTAATTAATTTAAATTGGGTACTCATTATGTCACAATTTATCTCGGAGAAAGAAGCATGTGCTATTTTAATAATTTATATTTGTTGATTATAAATGGAAAACTATTTCAATACATTATTTAAACTTGACCTGTTTATTTATTATCTATCCAATGTCACTATCATTGAAAGCTTGCATTGTTTTCAAAACAAACATTTATATCGTCTGCTTCTTTCTTGATCCTGATGACGAAGATTGAAACAACTTCTATAACATTCCTTCCTGCTTTGATAATTAAGTATTGTATACAAATATAAGAGTTAACGATGGAAACTGGTACAAGTGAGGAAATCAGTCGTTCCTTAATAGCGAAAGTGAATACTACTGGATTGAGAATCGATACTAGACTCCGGGAGTGGCTTTCACCAAGAAGATGGTTCTAATAAAGCCTTTCTTATCATATTTTTTAGATATTTTCATTTTTGGAAATCTATACCAAGAACCATAGAAATAAGGTTACATTTTGTTTTCTTTTTAATATTATTCCCACATTAAATAAGTAGGCTTTCTCTAGTGAGCTGACGCTAATGAGGGTACATAAAGAGCTCATTAATTTATTCAAGGTCATGTATTTATTTTATTTAGACGTCATGATATGCCTACTATAACGGTCGAAGATGCCTTACTAAAATTTATTTATTTATTTATTTATTTAAAATACACATCCAACAGGCGATGCCCAATAATAGGATATGTTAAGTCTAGTAATAAAATATAAAAAAAAAATAAAAGAGAGAAAAATTAACTACGAAAAAATAGAGAGAAAAATAAAAATTAGTACAAACTTACAAATAACACAAATATAAAGAACAAGATATAAAGGCAACAAACTATAAAAGATAGATATGATTACATAAGTAAAGCATTTTTTATATCATTAGCCAAACAACAAAAAAGATCGACATTATTTTCTGTCTCACTGTACTTACAAAAAAAATATTGGCACACTTGCCTTTCTTTAGTGGAACATCACACTATAAATATTTTTTTTAGGGAGTGGAATTTCCTGTTGACAAGGAAGAAATATACATTTTAGAATATACAGGGTGTTTTTTAATGGAGTAGCATAAATGATACCAGTGTATCTACATTTCAAAAGAACACGATCTGCAAAAAATCGCCTTCGTAAAATGTTCACCCCTGAAGAGATATGGGCCATCAGAGTTTCCAAAAAAAATATGAAAATTGGCTGTAATTTGAAAACCGAACGAGGTACAAATAACAAATTTTTTACAGGTTGTTTACTAATACAGATGCGAGTTTTCAACTATTTTTCGAAAATTTTAACCCCTCGAAAGGGGTTGAAATAACCACCCCTCAAGCCATTTTTTGCCATAACTTTTATATTTCGTAAAAACTCGATATCCAAAAATACGCATTAGATAAACTGGTTCTTTTAGAAACTTTTACCTCTCTAGCAATTTTCCTTTAAAACTTTTCGTTTATTAATAAAAAAATAAAATGTATTACCATTCACCTCACACCGTATATGATTGCAATCAATCAAAGAAAAACTAAGTGTGCTGCTGTCATGCCAGTTGTCACAATTAACTCTTCTGTAAGTTGTCACTGTTATCAGCTAAATACTTTTTGGGTGTAAATTAACAAGAATTATGCCAAATTTTACTAATGATGAATATGTGGACATGCTACAAGTGTATTTTGAATGTCGCAAAAACTGTGCTGCGGCAACAAGAGCGTATAATGAGAGATATCCAAATCGTCAAGTTCCCCACAGACAAACTTTTTCGGCGGTAGAACGAAGACTTCGGGAAACTGGAAAAATACAGCCGCATATTGAGGGTACCGGCCGAAGACCTACTGTTCGTACTATTTATCTTGAGGATGCAGTACTTGAAGAGTTTGACGAAAATCGTCAGACTAGTACGAGAAAAACAGCAATGCACTTAAATGTGTCCCATAGTGTTGTTTGGAATATTGTCCATGATAATTTATTATATCCTTTTCACCACCGGCCAGTTCAAGCTCTACTTGAACCAGACATGCATAAGCGAGTTGTTTTTTGCGAATCGTATCTTAATATTCTAAGAAATAATTTGAATTTTGCCTCAAAGATACTTTTCACAGATGAAGCAACTTTTCAAAGACATGGTTTAACCAATATGCACAATCTTCATTCCTGGGCTCATGAAAATCCTCACGAAGTATCTATGACAACATTTCAACATAATTTTAGTTTAAACATTTGGGCAGGAATTGTAGAAAATGTGCTTGTCGGCCCTTTTGTTTTACCTCATCGACTTGGTGCTGTTGAATATTTGCAGTTCTTAAATGAGCATCTACCACCACTTCTGGAGGAAGTACCATTAAATGTACGTCAGGCCATGTGGTACATGCATGACGGGGCTCCTGCTCACAGCACTGTAGTAGTTAGGCGGTGGCTTAATTTAAATTACCCGAATCGTTGGATAGGTCGCGGCAATGAGGCACCTATCTCTTGGCCTGCACGTTCTCCCGATCTAACGCCCATGGATTTTTTCTTTTGGGGACATATAAAAAGTATTGTTTATGCGACCCCAGTTGACAGTGTTGAAGAGCTACAGGAAAGAATATTCGCGGCGGCTGATGAGATTCGCAACAATCCCATAATTTTTGCTCGAGTCCGTAACAACTTTGATAAACGTGTTAGGTTGTGTTTAGAAAGAAATGGCAATTATTTTGAAAATGTCCTTTAACTAAGTTTTTTGTTTTTTCTCTTTTTGATAATAAATTATTTCTTAGTTTCGTTTTCATTGTACTTCTATTTAATAAAAGTTTCTGCGACATTCAAACAGTTATTTGTGCAACTACTGTAAAGAGTGTGTATTTGTTGTACGATGCATGAAGTTTGCAGCTCGAGACGAAGTTGAGAGCTGCAATCATGTTAAGTGCAACAAATATGCTTTTTGCACATGTTGCACGCAACATTTTTTCTACGATTGTTTTTATTTCAAATTTTATTTAACAGTATTTTACATAATATTAAAATTTTAACTGACAACTGGAAATTAATTGCGCAAATTGTCAATGTCAGACGTTAGGTACTTATGGATATGCTTAGATTAAACTTGTAATCAATATTTTTTTTGTACTACTGTAAAAAAAGTTAAACTTTTGGCACAGTAGGTAGTGCAATAAGTAGTAAATTTTGCACGATCGTAGAAAAAAACACTTGTAGCATGTCCACATATTCATCATTAGTAAAATTTGGCATAATTCTTGTTAATTTACACCCAAAAAGTATTTAGCTGATAACAGTGACAACTTACAGAAGAGTTAATTGTGACAACTGGCATGACAGCAGCACACTTAGTTTTTCTTTGATTGATTGCAATCATATACGGTGTGAGGTGAATGGTAATACATTTTATTTTTTTATTAATAAACGAAAAGTTTTAAAGGAAAATTGCTAGAGAGGTAAAAGTTTCTAAAAGAACCAGTTTATCTAATGCGTATTTTTGGATATCGAGTTTTTACGAAATATAAAAGTTATGGCAAAAAATGGCTTGAGGGGTGGTTATTTCAACCCCTTTCGAGGGGTTAAAATTTTCGAAAAATAGTTGAAAACTCGCATCTGTATTAGTAAACAACCTGTAAAAAATTTGTTATTTGTACCTCGTTCGGTTTTCAAATTACAGCCAATTTTCATAATTTTTTTGGAAACTTTGATGGCCCATATCTCTTCAGGGGTGAACATTTTACTAAGGCGATTTTACTAAGGCGTGTTCTTTTGAAATGTAGATTCACTGGTATCATTTATGCTACTCCATTCAAAAACACCCTGTATATATTTTAGAATAAAGATTTGGGACCACATACAAGTTTATACAGATTATGTGTAATACATAATACATTTCGAAAATAACATGTATTCTAACATTTCACACAATACATTGTGTAACAGTTTGCTTAACATGTTATCTGCGAGTTACTGTGTGTACTTCGTCATAGACTTCGATACACATCCCCAGGGACATACATATGTATTCCCGGGGGTATGAAGCGATTCAAAACTATATGTATATGTATACTGGACTAATATTGTTTTAATGCGCATTGACAAACATACTCGTATACAAACTAGAAAATACAACTATGTTCCAACAACTTAAAATTTTGATTTACGAAAGTTTTCACTATTATAAAATACTTAAATCTGCAATTATTACATTTGTTAAAACAGCAAAAAAATGAAGTAGTATCCTATGGCATTTATTTATAGCTACATAGATTAAATACATATCACAGGAGATATGAACCGTATATTAGTTATATGATTGTGCAATACGTGTCCCGCAGAATATGCATTTTGATAAAATGGCTACTAAGTAAAAATTAAAAATTGAATTATCTCATTCAAAGGCATTTGATTCTTTGAAATCAACCAAAAACTGAGAGTTCTGTAGCTTACGCCTGAAACATTTGTAATTTCGAGTGTTTTATGTTTGTTTATAATTAATACATACCCCAGAGCCGGTAACAGGAGCCTTTTTAGCTGTATTTCCAGTACAAGAAAGCTCATCTTCGAATAACGAAAATTAACCTATTGCTTTTAGTTATTCCAGTAACATTAAATCTTAGTTAATTTTATATAGCAATGTGAAAATAATAATATATGAAAATATCCGCAAAAAATATGTGCCTTCTGTTTTTGTAATTTTTTTTTGTTTAATTTAATAAACAGCAGAAAAAATATAAAATAAAATCTTGTTTATTAAAAATATAAAATAGTGTTGTCTAGAATTTTTAAGAAAGTGTTATAGCAAACAAGATTTGCAAATTTCTGCAATACTAACAAGCAGTTAACTGCACATATTCTATAGACTAAAATAATGGAACTTTTCTTATGTTACTTCATTTCGGAGCCCCATTTTCAAAATACAGTATCAAAATTAAAATATAAAAAATGATTTTTATCGATAACTGATTGTAGAGATATTTATTTGAAATTTAGCATATTTTGATCTTAAGTCGGCACACTTTTTGTATAATTTTGGTTTAAAAAATCAAAGCGCGAACAGAAGGGTGAGAGGGGGGTTTACATGTAACCATGGACCCCCATTTTTTTTTGAGTACGCCTATGATTACCGAATATATATATATTTTTTTTTGATAAATCGGCGTTTTTATTATTTATTTCACTCTCTTAAGATTTTTCGTTTACGAGGTATTGTAACTTTTTGGATACGCGGCATCAATTTAGTCGACGTTAGACTTTAATTTTTGGATTTTATGAAAAATTTCTTTCATATGGTACCAATACTAACTAAACAACAGTTAAAGAAACGAATTGTATGAGGTAAAGAGCACTTTAGGCTGAAACCACATATTTTGATTTGGGGCTTGCTATACGATATTTGCAACTTTTTTAGATATGTTAGATTTAGCTCAACTGAAATTAAATATTCATCATGATGATAATTTCCAATTTATTCAGTAAATTAAAATTAATAACGACTCAAATCTTTCATATAGCCCCAAAAAATAAGGTCTAACCTCGACTAAATCAATGTCGCGTATCCAAATGAAAATCTTACAAGAGTTGAAAAAATAGAATAAAACGCCGCTTTATCTAAAAAAAAATATACGGAAAGCATAGGCGGACCACAAGTAAAAAAATAAGGATCTATGTGTACTTCAACCCCCCTCCCCTCTGTTCGCGATTTGAGATTTTAAACCTAAATTACACAAAAAGTGTACCGAAGATCAAAATATGTGCTAAATTTGAAATAAATATCTCTACAATCACCGGAGTGACCAATAAAAATCATTTTTTAATTTTAATTTTGGCACCCTGTGTTTTGAAAATAGGGCTGCGAAATGAAAAGTGGCATAAAAAGAGTTCCATTATTTTAGTCCAAAGAATACCTATGTGGTTAACAGGTTGGCCTACTAATTTGTAACACCCTGTGTATCAATTATTACAGCGATTTAGAACACTAATATTGGTTCTAAAACTTTCTATTATTTATCTTCCTGTAATTGTGTCATCCTTGTAAGACCTGAAGATAAGGAGTAACCGGTAGTCTTTTAAAAATTTTTGTGAGAAAATTGGATTTTTTCTTATTTCTAAAATAAGTGTATAAAGCTATATTTAATTCTTTTTAATTTTTGAATATTATATACCGATCAAGGTTGTTATCTTTCCAAACTAAAAATAAAATTCTTATTATGGTCTCAACCGTCACCTCTCTATAGAAGGTCATCGAACAAGCTAAAAAACATATTGTATAGAACACTGGTGACTGACCAATTTTTTTTATCTCTGTAATAATATCTCTTACATAATAATAAAATATTTTCTTAAATATGCACTTCCAAAGGTTACATTTTCTTTCCTTAATAAAATGGCTAATACGTTTCTCCAGTTTTTGATAAATATTTTTAAACACAGTGGTCTTCGATATTACAATAGATACTATTACGTATGGGAGGAAAATTTCTTCGAGCACTACACTGGTCTTTTGTTCTACAATATGATGGTATTGCAACTCAAAGTGGAACACACTGTATACATATACATAATAGTAAGATACATAATGAATATATGCTTAAAATTTATTGTTCAGTGCGCGAATTATTTTCACTACTTGCAGTAAAAAAAAATTGCAAAAAGAGGAAATATCTACTTACCTTTACATAACTACTGATGTGATGTATTCCATCTATATTCGCCGCAACTGATGTTTTTCCTGGATATATAGTGACAGGAATAATTCCATAATTTTTAACAAATACCTGGCCAATGTATGTCTTCCTGTTGTTCACGTCACGTCCCCCCTCTACAGCGTCTCCTGGTATGTCCCCTGTATAATCCCTCCAGTAATAATCTAAATAAAAATATCTTCAATAGAAAACGCATCAGCATAGCATCACTCAAAATGTCTTACCATAACTTATTTCACAAAAAATATTACTAAAGCAGCCACCAATTATTGCAAGCTTGAAAAGAATGCCCAATTTCATTGTGCAGGCGTGCTCTTTAGAGAGAATCTGGTGGAACTAGTTCGTTGCAATCACTATTGAAAGTGGATAAAGACGTATTTTCCAGTACGAGCAATGTAATTAACTTGATAGGAACCTGTTTATTTAACTAAAATACATTTTACAAATGCTACTAATGTATCTGATATTTTATTTGCTATCTGCTTTTAGATAAGCGTGAAAAACAATTTTAATAAACAGTGGAGACGTAATCAAAACATTAAAATACAGTATTTAGATACAATTGATTTATACAAGTATGTTTTTAACAATTCAAAAAATCGATACAGTCTCTTCATCCCTACCTTTGTTTTTTTTTTCTGAAGGTTATCTACTATTATTTTCAAATTACTTGTGAAAATACAGGGTGATTCACAACTTATCCAAAAAAATTTAGGAATAGATGCTGCATGAGAAATGGAGTCAATATTGTAAAAAAATATTGTAGAATCCTTATAGTTTCTGAGAAAAAATTTTTTGAAGTTATAGCACATTAAACCACTACATAGCTGGACAACTGTAGTATCTAGCGTCATTCGCAATACGCGTGGAGAGCCATGTGACTCCTAATACTGAAATCCGTCGTTGCGGTAGTTTTTACCTGTTATCTGTGGTATATACATCAGTTTTTTAGTAGTTAGTGTCAAAAATGGCTTGCGTGTATAGCAACTCAGAGTTGATGGATATCATTTTAATTTATGGTGAAGCAAGACAACATTTGTATTAAGGTGAAGTATTTGTGTTATGGCGAAGCAAGATATCATGTTAGTTCGTAGAAAGTGAGTAAGACGGACCCAAATGTGTTTACACGTGAGTGGATAAAATTTTGAACAATTGCTGTTGCAGCATCGGGTATGTCAAATGATTTTATTATTTAAAAACACAAATTAATTTTATTAATAATTAATAAAGGCAAAAGCATTTGAATTTGCCGATATAAAATAGGTGCGATAAAATTCTATTTACATATTTCTTTCCTTGCGAAAGTTTTTGTCCGTTTTTATCACGCCGCCATACCGGTCGCATTGTGCGAGGTCAGGTTTTACAGTGGACCAGTTTCCAGTGCCGTGCAGAAGTGTATTTTTAAATCAATTTCGAACTGACCTTTTTGATTTTTTCTTTACAAAATTGTATTTGTGAGGGTCCCCTGTACATCCAGAATTTTTTTTTGGAAAAGTTCTGAATCACCCTGTATAAATGGCAAGGGCATGAGGCTATAAAGATTTTTATAGATATTTAATTCTTTCTGACATAGTCTAAAACTGTCCTTATTTATTTAGCTCTTTTCCTCAACTTCGTATTATAACGTTAATATTAAATTAGTTACAGAACATAACTAACTGTTAATTGTTTAATTATTAATTAAGGATTAATTATTTATTTAAAAGTTTTATTCCATCTAATGAAACAATATCCGTGCTTATAAGACCTATAGATACTGTGAGCATGGATATTTAGGGTATGACATACTCGTACTTTATATCTCATATCTCAAAATTTATAATTACATCGAATGAATATTAGAGAATGTATTGCAATACTTATCTGCATTAATGGTATTATAGAAATTTCTTAAACGTATTTGTAAATTTGGAAGAAATAAAGTACATTTATTAAAGATTTCACAACAATGACTTTAAGTTTTATTTGCCTTATATAAATAATTTGACATTAGTTAATTTTGTTACGCTAGATTCCGAAAAAAATCATTACATAGATAAAGCAATCCATGCCTTGTATCTGTAGCGTCATTTTCGGCGTATCCCAAGTCTTTCTTTTACGTTTCCAACTAGAAATAGCGTGAATCTCTCGAGAATCGTATTTTATGTGCCACTAATATTAATATTTAACATTTTAATTCAACTTCTGCCCTTTCTTTATGAATAAACACATAATTCCTATATATCCAGTAATGCCCGACATTTAAAAGTACCTACCGAGTCTTAGTGAGATTGGATCTAAATCAAACGTTTTTTGTATTTAATGGGAATTATACACTTTTTATAATATTTCTTGTTTTCAAGATACGATCGTATATAGGGGAAGAAGATGCATAATCGAACACCAGGTGAAGGAAAAGGGGTGAAGGCGTATTTGGAAATTAATAAATATATGTAAGTAAACATAATTTTGAAATGTTTTTGTATAACTTGCAAATAAATATTTGCTCTATAATACAGGGTGATCCATTAACGGTACGGTGCGGCTATACATATGATACTAGACGTGCTACAATTATGGAGTAAAAAATCTATTAACAAATAAGGCCAAATGAAATTGATTTGAAATATTTTCAAGTTTGTAACTTCATCGCTAGGAGGGGTGCAACTGCTATAGTGTTACTGAAAATTGTCGTTTTTTCGAAATTTCGCTAAGTTGAAAATACACTTTTTAGATGCACTCTGAAACCCTTCATAAGTTTTGTTTGAACTTTTTTTTGTTTTTACCATAGCAACGCCAGTATGATGCTATCTTGAAATTTTTAAATTGTCATAACTTCTAAATGCCTTAATCGATTTCAAGAAACGACGACCTATTTTAAAGAACTATTAATAAAATTTATATTTATGATATGGGAATAAAAATATTATTTTTCTGCGTAACCGTATACGACGCTAATCAGAAAAGTTTTGTTAACTGTCTCCGTTTACTAAAAAAATTAAATGCAACGATTAAATGCAAGGTTTTTTTTCATGGCTTGATAGACAATTTATTAAGGGAAACAAATACACAAACCGGAGGTCGATATCTTTTTTTCGTTTTCAAGTTATTGCTAAAATAGTGAAGTTATGCTAGAACATCCTCCACTATTTAGTTCTCTAAATAACATTGACATATTCCAAGCCAAAATTAAATTGTAAAACTATACCAAGCTTGTCTTTAAAAAAGAACTTGCTTTATTTTTAAATTTTTTTTGATAGCTACAATGTTTTATTTTTTTATTAATTCCAAATATCTGAGTATTTATAAAAATTATTGTTTCCATAACGAGGCAGGTTATGCCCTATGAAAATAGACAACTTCAAAATTATGTCAAACGAAATGTGACAGGACAAAATTAGTGTTATTTGTGTGTTTCGTTTTTTAAGTTTTACTCGAAAATCAGGCTCTTTTCGAAAAACATAAGATAGTATAATTTGTAGAAAATTGAAAGAAGAATCCGAAAATATCATTATTGTTACCGTAAAACAGTGTCGTACTATTTTATTTAGAAAAATATGCCACCGATACCCTGTATCTCTGCCAGTGGAGAAATTTTAGAAAAATGGCCTCAGATTTCGGACAGTGTTTACATAAATACATGTGCCCAATTTCAAATTATTTCACATACCAATTTTTAAATTATTTAAAAAAATTATAAATATATTTTGAAGATTAACACCCTGTATCTTTTTAGATAAAAACTTTATACGTAATATTCCTCTTAAAATTCACCAAAGAATACGAGGTTTAATTTTTGATCACCGTTTGTGAATCACCCTGTATATTTTATTTAAAATGAATACCAGACGATGTTGTTTTTAAGGCTTGTAGTTTCAAAATCTTTCCATTATACAGGGTGTCCCACTGGGAACTGCGTCGATCGATATCTAGGAAAGTACTGCCCCGAAAAATTTGAAAATTTGGCAACCTGGCAATGTCCCTAGGGCAAACACAACTAAAATATCTAGTACTCTCTATATTTGTCAAGTTAGTTGTCAAATTATTGTTATGTCTGTAAAGGTTTTTGCTAAAAATTTAAATAAAAATGCCTGGGGATCGTTTAAATTATACTTATGAGAATTATTTTAATTTATTTGTTATTTATGGAAAAAAGCAGCAGATTCTCTACATGTTCATGAAATTACTTTGTCGCATTTTCCATAAATAACAAACAATTTAAAATAATCCTCATTTGTATAATTTAAACGATCCCCAGGCATTTTTATTTAAATATTCGGCAAAACTATTCAGACACAACAATAATTTGACAACTAACTTGACAAATGTTAATGTTATTTCAATTGTTTTTGGAGTGTTTCTGGTCATGGCTAATTTGACAACAGATCTGATACGAGAAAAGCTGCCCAAAAAATAGTGTATTGCAAATATCTCTAAAAGTAATAAAGACTGCCATAACAATGCTTATATGACTTGAAAGGAAATTTCAATCTGCATACGACAAAGTAAAAAAATATAGAGTGTTCCAAGTTAACAATCATAACGAGTCTGGATTTCAAAAGAGGTTACTATTCAATTCTCGAAAGGGAGTTCATAATTATCATTATACTTCAGTTAATACGTGGGAGCTTAGAAATGTTGTACGTTCAAAGAATGAATACTAGTCACTTACCGTATGTCGCTCATATACAAGGTAATCCAGTGGTTGGTTGTACAGGGTGACACTTAAGTTGGAAGAACAAGAAAGAAACACCAAAATTTCCAGGAAGGGTTTTAATAACAATAAAAACAAAACAAACAAACAAAATAACGACACAACGGGCTCGAAAAACATTATTAATTAATTTATTGACACGTGACAGAGCGTACCGAGATTCAGGGAATGCGCGATCCATAGCAAAATTTGGAATGACTTTATCCATTATTAAATTAACCCGAGACTCTAAAACTAAGTAGACTGCTGAATGTGAAACCCAAGGAAGAACTCCTCTTCTTTCGGAGATCTCTCCAGAATTCGACACCTGAATATCGGGACGCTTTGGCATAACTATGCCATGTTAATAGTTATCTATTGGACTGAATTTACATTTATATAAATAATTATGTGACTAACTGGACTTAGAAGTAACCCTAGCCTTCCTCTAGTCACTCCGTGTAACAATACGGGACGGATTAGTCAATCTTATTTAATCTGTTCTTATAGCTTGGAAAGTCCGCCTAAAAACCAGCTATTATTCTTTTCCAATTATTATCAATTTAACAACTTATTTAAATATCTTGGAAATTCTACGTGTTCTTTTAAATGCATTTCGCGCGTTATTAGAAATATCGATTTTTCTCTTTATACTAGATGCTCAACATATGGCCCCGACAGTCTAAGTGAACTTGTTAAAAATATTGCTAAATTTCTCCGAAAGACGGCCTTGTGGCGACGCTACATGAGATAATTAGT